CGACATCAAAAAACACTAAAAACACTATGGCAGCAGCAGCAGCAGCAGCAGAAAGCAACAGAACACTAAGGAAAGAAACAACGATAGTACTGACCTGTAAAAACAATATGCAATGGTTCAGTAGGTTGTGCGCAGATCCGCTGCTGCTGCCAAAGTGTGGTTCAGTACACCCGGAGATGCTCCGAGCTGAACAGCTATCCAGGTGGCGCTCACAGCGGGGCACAACAACAAAAACACGACCACGATGATCACAGCCGTGCCCTGATATGATACGGGGCGATGCGTCGAGGCTATTTGAAAGGTCAGCAGTCACTCCCACGATGACCACCGTATTTCCCTTGACACGGGGCAGTGCACCGACGACATGCGCTGCGCGTTGAAAAAAGCACACGCAGCGATGAAAAGCGATGTCAACCTCCAAAGCAGCTGGGACGTTCCGTCAAGAACCCACAGCAACAGCAGTGAAGAACTTTAGTACCTGTAAAAACAATATGCAATGGTTCAGTAGGTTGTGCGCAGATCCGCTGCTGCTGCCAAAGTGTGGTTCAGTACACCCGGAGATGCTCCGAGCTGAACAGCTATCCAGGTGGCGCTCACAGCGGGGCACAACAACAAAAACACGACCACGATGATCACAGCCGTGCCCTGATATGATACGGGGCGATGCGTCGAGGCTATTTGAAAGGTCAGCAGTCACTCCCACGATGACCACCGTATTTCCCTTGACACGGGGCAGTGCACCGACGACATGCGCTGTAAAAACAATATGCAATGGTTCAGTAGGTTGTGCGCAGATCCGCTGCTGCTGCCAAACTTTTTTTTTACGCAGAATTGATTCACAGCTCGAAGCAGTCTCCTCTCTTCTGTTCAAATTAATTGCCGTCTGCTCAAACGTGCTTCATCAATGTCTGTCTTTCTTTCACACGCAGTAGTTCTGTATGGCTCTGTTATACTGAAGAACGTGCAAAATCCATCCTAAAGCTATACAATGATTGATTTTAGGCACGCACCTAGCTATGATTCCAGATCGTTTGTTTATTGTTTTTTTTTAATTCTACCACTTCATTCTTTTTGTTGTACGAAGAGCATCTTATCCGACATATATAAAAAAAATTCTGGCACTAAGAAGCCTTACTTGCTTCATTTTGTTTTGGCAAACTGTGCCAGTGATAAACTTTCATAGCTGCATCCAGTAGCATAGTGGAGCCGGCTAGAAGCAGATGTAGCAGACGACACTCGGGTGCGTCGGAGACCACAGGCGCGCACTCTCTCCTCTCACGGCGAAAAACAATTAGTTCTGTGCGTCACCGCAAGGATTGCTTCACGGGCATTCGCTAACCTCCTCTCCAAGGGTGGCATTATCACAGCACACGCTCCCGCTGGCACCGGCCCAGAGTTTCCCCTCCTGTCTTTCTTGCTCCTTGACCCCAAGTTAAGGAAGTGATCACGAGTGCAGCCAGATGTAGGCACATGGACGGACGGACGGACGAATGGAAGGATGCATGGATAGATAGATAGACGGAATAGATATCCATCTATTCAGAGATGTCTGTAAATTATAGATATGATAGGACATAAATAGATATAGAATTATAGAAAATAGGTAGATATGTAGGGAGACACTCAAAGTGCCTGCAATACGCAAAGAAATGCTTTGCATTTAAATGCAAAACAGTATATTGTTTCTTTTTATGAGAGATTTATTAGAACAGGCTTTTTCCTAATGCACGCATGTTCCTAGATCAATAGTGCATATAGAAATGTTGCATCTCAGAGGGATAAAGTGTGGCATAGTGCCTTCAGGTACGAATGCAGATTTATATAGTCCCCACAAATCCTTGCGAAGCTTACATAACAAAGCATAGTGCTGTGAAATACAACAAAATTATAACAGATATTATATTAGTCAAAAATTAGGGGTATTTTTGTACAGTTCAAAAGACAGTGTTCAAGTAAAGTAGTTCCCTACAACAATAGATTGGTTTTATTGAGAAAAATAAGGGACACTAAAGCTTTGCCTTTAGGAGTTGGAACACGATAGCGACATCCTGTTCTTAGTGCGTACTTCAAACACTTAGTGCATGAAACTTTTTCGAATTTGCTATGCACCCACTACGTGGCCTTGAGTGAACAGGCGCAGTAGTGTGTGTGCCTTTTGTAGTGGGGTACCAGCTTTCAACCATGAAGACATTATGATAATCACATATTCTGATGCCGGTTGGCAATGGACGCTTGTACCATGCATTATTACTGCAATGTTTCATGTTGCATTGTGAAGCATCTATACAGGACGCATGTTTGTGAAGCATGAAAGCTACTTCCACTGCATTTCCAAGCAAAGGAAGTTATTTTCACTGTTTTCACAAGCAGAGGCGTGGCCATGTGATAAATTATTCACTTGACACGCAAATGACCCGGGATCGATCCCCACTCTGCTCCAGGAGTTTTTTTTATCATTTATTTATTTTATTTGCATCATTCTCGATTTTTCGGTCACGCATAAGATGATTTTTTCCTCACAACCAACAACACTGATGCCGACGCTGAAATTTCTGCGAAACTAGCTCTTTAATGCTATCACGTTAATAATTTTACAGCATGCAATTGCGATTCGCATGCCATACCACAGCAAGCTATCATCTCGTGGGTGTTCCCAAAATAATCTTCAGGCATATGGTTTTATTGCGACAGTAATTATGTGGACACTATCGGCTGGATTTTGCCGCCTGTGTCGACATCAATGTTGGCGTACGCCATCATTCACCGTATATGTATACATATTTATATGTGAAAACGCAAGAAATAAAAATAATTTAGAAAAAGACCACGGCACGCGGAATCGAACGTCTGACCTTTCGTTCGTGAACGCATGGCGTGAGCCACTGAGTCACGAGGAAGCACTTCCTTCATCGTTGAAACTGCAAGCTATTTACATCTACCACATAGTGATGGTGGCGCCTATCTCGGGGGAAATAGCGTGTTTCAGCATTACCAGCGAGATGGCACGAAGAGCGCACTCGGCGTAAAGTTCAACACTCAGCTCGTCGCAATACACGAATGCACGCTCATCTTCCCCTCATGCATTGCTCCACGGAAAAAAGGGGCCTTATCCGCGCACCTATCCTGTGGTTGGGGAAGATCTCACTTTCGGCTTTCACTGGAATGATTGTGTTTATTAGCTGCCGGGCGCACAAAGATCACTTAACTCGCTGGACAGGCCTCGTTTGAAAACAGAGTGCGTTTTTCAAACACAGCAAAATAAAAACAGAGACACATGCTAGTTCGCACCTATATCTGTACCTGTGATTACGTTTTGTGCGTTGTTTTTGTTTAAACAGTGCGTTAAGTGTCGAGCTGTAAACGTTGTTAATCAGCTCTCGTCCTGTGAGTATTGTTCTCGTGCGTCATTTGTGCATGTGCAGTGCGCTACACGTTTCGATCTGCCTGCCGTTCTCAGCGTTACATACCAAGTTGTTGCTATCGCATTCATTGCTTCACCTTTGCGGCAAAAGTGTGACCTTTTTTCATGTGAAGCATCGCAAAAATATGGGTCCATACATGTTGGTACAATAGGATTCTTTTTATACGATTGCCTGCCTTAGCGATCAAAAAATGCTGTGCCCAACAGTCAGAAATGGTCATCTAGCCAGTGATGCAGTCGAACACGGATATATCCAACTCAAAGGGGATCGCGAATTAGTTCGATATATGGAAAATTCGATATAAAAAAAAGAGGCCCCGAGAGCTTACTTGTAGCAGATCATCACCCACAATAGGCGTATACAAGAATGACAACTCATTCCGCACACACACTGCAACAGAATAATTTATTTGCATGACAAAATCGCTAATCTTGGCCTGCTTCTTCGCTTTTAAAATATTGAAGACTCTAGTCTTGATCTTATCAAGGCTGTTCATGTGCAACAGCCGGGTTCCCTCCATGTGACCAATACAGCAGCGAATCATGCCGAACGCTGCCGCCACTTTAGCGGCGAAGTACGCGCATGTAGCCAGTGCTTCGTCCGGACAATCTTCCTCATCACATGAGCTGTCGGCCTGGACATTGCAGTCCGCTTCCACAAAGTCAGGCTCCCGACAGGCTCCCGGCATTTGCTGCTCCGCCCCCTTTGCCTTGATATCTGTCTTGTTTTTCAACAAGGTGCTCGAAGTGCTCTGTAGTATCCCGAAGTCGTCCGCGACAGTCGAACATTTCTCGCCCGCCTCAGCATGCTGAATAGGTTTCAGCTTCGTCGCAAAGTTGAGGGCCTTGCACTTCATGACACTGCCCATAGCTACATGATAGTGGTACGTAGGCACCACGACAGCGGAAGCAACAAAGCACTCGCGAGGCGATTGCTACCTGACAGGGCAACAGAAAAAGGCGCGAGTTATGGTTGGGTGATCAAAACTCGCAAAACAGCAACAAAAAATAAAAGAAAAGGCCAAAGAAGAAGAACGTCGGCTCCTTCGTTCTGCTCTCAGAGCCGATGGGTACGTGGAGAAAGTGTGAGAAAGAGAGAGAGAAACAAAAAAAAAAGCCGCTACGCAAGTGAGAGATTGCGCAGTCCGAGCCCTCTCACCCTTAACTTTTTTCGAGCGTTTCGGTTTTCGGCAAAGGCGTGGTGCCGTACGGAGGTTGCCGGGCGCTACGAGTGCCACCTTCTAACTCACGCTCGGAGCCATGCTGCCGCGGTGATTGCGGGGTTTCCTAAGCGCACCTTTCAGCTTGCCCGCATTCAATATATTCGAAGGTGGGTAAAAATACTGTTCAATATACTTTTGCAAAGGAATTTCAAAGGGGTAACTTGCGAGTTCAATATACCCGAAAATTCGATATATGTGGGTTCGATATAACCATGTTCGACAGTACTCCTTTCCGATTTGAACAAACTTAATTGCTTAGGCATTATAATTCATGTCTATCTAAAGCATAGCTTTGCCAAAGCCAAAGTTCAGGTAAAGATGCTATCACAATGTCACATGGCTGCAGTTCCACTTACCAAGTAGAGAAGCCAGAATTTGCCCGGAGACAGGGTCAGCCACTAGGGCATCTTTCTCGTAGTACTTGCTGAAGCAGAACAATTTCAAATCGTGTCTCACTCATCAACCATCGCACTGAACGCCACAAAAGTTCAAAGCAGACACATAAATGTAAAAAAGCAAACTTCCATTCAGTAAATCGTTCTGCATGAACTTTATCAGCAAGCACGAAAAAGATGCACAGTCATGAACATCATTAAAAGGAACACAGAATCCATGTTAAAGCAATAATTACTGGTCTTGAGCAAATACGAATCATGCATACTGATTTGAAAAAGGTACAGTACCACTTGAGAGCTCAGGAGTATGAACACTCTTGAACTGGACAATGGCAATCCATCATTCTTTAAAGTAATTTCAGCGTTCCCTTTCATATTGCTGACAACTGTACTTTTCGTTGTATATATACAAGTGACAACTTGTTGAAGTACTGCAAAAAGATTAAAATTTTGCAACAGTGAGTGTCACATTGCTTCAACTCATACTAATGTACACTGATGGCCATTAAACAACTTGAAACAAACTTTATCATATGCTACTGAATTTTGACATGCAAGAAAGAATGCTTGTTCAGAGAGGTATGCAATTTGATGTTTTTCCTCGTTAATTCAAGGTGAAATGACTGCACAGGAATATAGCTTAAACCCTCGTAGTATCTTCAGCAGATAGTCACCTTAAAGTATCGGAGAGCTGAGTTGGTTGGTCAGTAGAACATAATTCCAAAAAGATGAGGGTGCGCAAACACGGTCGCAAGAAAGATTTCAGGAGACCACCAACAACGATTAAATATGGGCTCAATGGCAGAAAAGAAAGAAGGCACAAAAACTTACCTGTACATGCCCATGCAATATGCACACCTATCAATTCGGCACACGTGAGGGTCTACGTAACTGTTAAGGCATTCGATTTTATCTTTATACATCTTAGTAGACAGTTGGCTCACCCATACGCTACCACTATTATTGATATGCCATGCCTCAATCATCATGTGCATTCCTTCATTCCTTTGCCGGGCCGATAGAGCATATTCATAGCATTTTGGCTTGCACTTACACTCTCAACAGTGTAAAGATATATTAGAAGGTGACCCTCCAATAAACAATCTCAGAGAGGGCCACTACATTCACTGGAGATTACTGGAACTATAGAGATCGCTAAATGGATGCTTGCCCTGCTATTGATCCCCCTCGGGTGCAAGGATAAATGCTCATGGTAGCTCAAGCAGTTGAAACACACAGTTACACCTTTGTTGTAGCATAATCACTGATGAACAAGAGCCACTTGAGAAATGAGGCTGGTGCACGAACAGCCAGTGCCAATCGCTTTTGTGTGTACTCCGTTTTATGCATCGGGTGTAAAGCGCAAATTGAAGTAAAAGAACAGTTCAACTTATCATGGCAGGTAATGTGGTTTCCTTTTCAATTTTAGGTGGAGTTATACATTAAGATAATTTTTACCTCAGGCGTAAACTGTGTTACGTGAATTTTAATATGTTGTTCAACACCACTTAGTGATCATTTGGGGCTTTTAGTCTTTCTTATGTAGCCAGTCGCCATACCTCAGGCGCAGGCTCGTGCTAGGCCCACAAGAGCATTCACAATCAAGAAAATCAGTGAAAAAGACACACAGAGTAATGCCTTTTGCTGACTGAACTTGTTGCACAGCTTGAACAGTGCCGCACTTCATGTATGGATTGGAGTATAGTCAAGTCCACCAAGGCATCACGACAACTGGATTGCCAGCCGCAACCTTGTGTTCAGCAAAATATATTTGTAACAGTGGCTTGGTGTCATTACTTCCCTATCGCTTCATCACCATGCCTGACCCAGCTGACTACAACGACAAACTGAGTTTCATTCCACACACTTTGTGCCACTGTACCACACTGTCGGCAAACATACTACATCCCGTGGTCCCGCAGAGCTGGCATTGCCAGAAGTCACTGCAAAGTGCTTCAGATGGTGCATACCACATCATCCATCATACAGACAAACATTTTACATACAAACCCAGGACCTGCCTAAAAACATGGCCTAGGGCATTCGGCGACCATAATGACAGTGATGCATATGTACTGTAGAGAGGTGCGTAGCACATGTGTTTCTTTACATTGATAATTTTTACTTCTAATCCCAGCACCCTTATTGGTGACAAAATGAAACACAGCACGCTTTGAAACATCTTTTTAGTAAGGCATTCAATGCATTAACACATTCATTTTTTTGCAACAAACTTAAGTTACTACATATAGAGCCTGCTGTCTATAGACAAATAGAAAATTATTTGTGCCAATGCCGGCACGTGTCATTTTCAATAGAAAAAAGCTTGATGTGATATCGGGAGTTCCACAAGGTTTTATATTGGGGTCATTCTTATGTTTAGTTTACAAAAATAATATTTAGTAAGTATTTCATCAAACATTAGAGTGTTTGCAGATGATTGCATTGTTTGTGTATAGACGAGCAAAGAGTGAAAGAGACCTTATTCAAGTGCAAACTGACGTTCAGGATAGAATGCTCTATGTGTAAAACTAACCTAAATACCGAAAAGTGTGTCCACACTTCCTTTATAAGCAAGTGGAAACCAATGGAGTCCGAATATACATTTCAGACAGTGAACGTGTAAGAAGAGCAGTCAGAGATGAATACCTAGGTGTAGTCTTTTCATACAAGTGCTCATGGAATGTGCATGTAGGCAATGTGGTTTGTAAAGACGGGAGGGTACTAAACTTTATTCAATACAACTTAAAAACTTTGATCTACATGCTGGAGAGAGAAAGAAATAGGTCAAGGGAAAGACAGCTAAAATGGTTAACAAAAAGAAAACATTTGTCATGGTGCATTGTAGAAGAAAGGAAAGGAAGGGAATAAAAAACTTAACGCAGCTGGAACCTATTCTGGAACCTACGTCGCCGCCAGCGATAACGCTGGAACATTCGAGAGCACTGTATAAATGTCGGCATACTTCGCTGCTTGCCAGTTGATCGACGTCTGATGTCTGTTCACCTCTATCAGTGCCAGTGTGTATTGCTTTCATCTGAGTGTCTGATTATCGGCCACACGTTTGGCCCAAATAAACTGTTTTATCTTATACACACAGTCTGCTCCCTTCAATCACGTCTGAACTCCATAACAGTATTCCTCGCTTTCTTCATTGTTCTATTTTTATACGCGGTTCGCGTTGCAGTGTTACCCTTGCCAAAGCAGTAATATCTGCCCCTTGTATCATCATCAAGGCCCTCAAAGAACAAGAGGAAGAAGACCTCTTTCGCACTCAATATGCTACAGCTGGCTGCGCTATGTGTGGTTTCGCCTGCGTTACGCCAAGTGGCAATGGCAGCACACAACAGCCTGGCACCCTAAAATGCTCCGAACTTAAAAAAAAAAGAAAGGGTACAAAAAATATAAAGAAAAGAAGTGCACAGTAGCCTGAGCTCAGTATAGACCTTATGCAATATTGCTGCCATCTGTCGGCCAGTGTGTGCAAACCGCCATGTTAGAGGCTTAGGGCGGTGCAGTACGCACAGTCCATATGTGTTTATGTATGCGTATACATGAGGTGTATCGACATGAGGTGTATATTGGCTGATAATCGCAATGCTAACGTATTGCTGCATCCCTTGCTGCACACAGGGAAGAACTTAAAATGCTGAAGGACGAAAGATATGCTGCAATCTTTCCCCTTAGTAATTTTTTCAAGCTGATGACGTCCCCATTATGTGCTACGGTACTGCTCACAAAACACGTGTTTGCATTCTCTTTTTTAAGCAAGTAAGACGTGCAATAGCATTTGTACCCCTGTGCCCTCAAATCTGCACGCCAAAGCTAGACAGTTTCTGTAACCTTCACACTAGCAGCTGTTTAACAAGTGAAAGCGACTCGTATGCTTCAAGCAGAAGCCACGTTCAGGCAACAAACTTTATTGCAGCTAATTGTGCACGACGTTGAATGTCCTGCTTTTGTTTGTTATGTTTCAGTAACGACACATGCTAAATTAGACAAAAGTGTGCGTGATCGGTTCATTCTAAGAAGGGAGCAACGGTGTTAAAGCATATTTGTTTCATGTTGTTTCATTTTCTCTTCTGGATTGTGACAGGCTGACGTTTAGTGAAATGACTTGCGCATGACTGCGAACGTTTTTCAAGGATTCGATGTGCTCACCACACTCAATGAAATGCAGGCACATGCAATTAGTCGCAATAAAGCTTGTTGCGTGACCATGGCTTCTGCGTGAAGTGTACGAGTTGCTTTCACTTGTTAAACGGCTGCTAGTGAAAACATTGCAAAAACTGTCCAGCTTCAGCATGCAGCAACTTGAGGGAACACGAGTACAAATGCTATTGCACGTCTTACTTGTTTAGAAAAGAGAACACAAACACGTGTTTTGGGAGAGGTAGCCGGAGCACATGCTGGAAACGTCATCGGCTTGAAAAAATCACAAGGGCAAGAATTACGGCTTATCTTTTTTCCTTCAGCATTCAAAGTCCCTCTCTGTGTGCAGCAAGGAACGCAGCAATACGTCGGCATTGTGATTATCAGCCAATACACGCATCACGTCGATATGCCTTACGTATACAAGTACGTAAACAGACGCGGACTGTGCGTACTTCGCCGCACTCGAGCCTCTAACATGGCGACATGCACTTGACAGCCGACAGATGGCAGCAATTTTGCATAAGGTCTATACACAAAGTAACATGTACACAGCATACACAGAGAAAAGTAGTGGCATACAAGTGTGTACATTTGAACTCTTTCCAGCCTCAATTACAAACCTGGAATTATGGACCAAGTGGTCGACAATGCTAGCCAGCTGCTTCTCAAAGAGTGCCAGCCGGATCCAGATGTATCGCCCACTTGCCGACCACAACGAACGCCGACTCGTCTGACTGCGTAGGCGGCTCTCCCTGCACAATGGATAGAGGTATATTGAAAACAACCTCCCAAAATGTAGCAAAGCTACTGATGCTACAATACCATTGCGACCAAAGCCTACATCCACTAAATCAGCAGAACTTCACCATCTAGGGGTTAATATCATAATTCGAATGCTCAGCTGACAACTGTTTAATCTAAAATACATTGATGAAACATCAACATGAAAGGATCAACAGAATGCAACACAGTTGCTTTAATTTGGCTTTGTGAATACCACATCAGCACATATGGCATGGAATGGGTGCTCGCGTTGTCTGTTCAGAATTAGGGCTATTTCAGAGTGACTTCAGGAAAAACATAACGGGTGTAACGCAACCTGTACCAACTCAAAGAAGCACAGTTGCATTGCTAATAAAAGCTCATGATGGTGAAGAGAAGAAACTCAGGCACGTTACCTACCCAGGCAAAGAAAGCCGATCTCATATGCTGAGTGCTTCGCACTATTTGTGGGCAACACACAGGGCCATCCCCTCTGCTGTTTCTTAACATCATGCATCATACATCTCAGTCATTATATACTTAAGTGTATAGCATTTCATCAAGTGTAATGAATGTATCACATCATTGGAAAAATAAAAGTAATGTTATACAGTCAAATCTCATTAATTCGAACACGCTTAATTCGAACTTCCAGTTAATTCGAACTCACGATGAGGTCCTGTCAAAGCTATGTGTATTCCAATGTGCGGAAACGCACGGTAATTTAAACGCGCAAGCACTTTTCACAGTTAATCAAAACATACCGCGCTCCAAAAATGCTCGCAGCACCCCGCTCAATCCCGCGGCGGCACCTGCGACACCTCAACGCTGAGCGCTAAGGAAAGGAAAAGGAAAGAAAAGGCTGTGGTGGAATGTTTGCTCAATCTCAAATGCTGATCTGAGACGCGCCCGTGTCACGGTTCTCTCTTTTCCGTCCCTGCCACCTAAAGAACCTTCTCCTTCCAACGCTGCGTGCGAATAGAGAGAGGAAAAAAAAAGCTTTTGCTGGGTTTAATGAATGTGTGGTTGAAGGAAAGGAAAAAGGCACTATCAAAGGCACTATCTTCTGCCGCCCTTGCCTTTGCGGGAGCACGGGTCTGCGCCTTGAGGGGGGGGGGGTCTCTCATGCGCCTGTGCCACGCTTCCCCCTTTTTCGTCCCTGCCACGTAACCTTTCTCCTTTCAACGACGCGCACAAAGAGAGTAAAAAAAAAAGCTGCCTTGGAGTGTTGGTTTTCTCTCAACTGCCGATCTGCTTCTCTCGGCGTGGAGACGCTCTTCCTTTCTCGTCACGTGCTGGCCATGCTGCGGCTATGCAGTCGTCGTCGTCTTTAGAAAGTGTCGGCGCTGGACATTTCCAGGTGCAACTTCTTTTGCCAGAAGAATGCTGAAGCCGAAGTAGAAATGCATTGCAAGGTCGCTGCAAGGCAAACGTGTGCAGACGCGCATCACCGATTACTTAAATTAATAACTAATGTCCTGTGATTTGTGAATAAATGTAAGTCTTCTTAAACTTCCCCCTCGTGTGTTAGCTCAATGCACATGCGCCACTACATAGAGAGCCTTTCGTTTATTTAGCTTTCATTAATTCGAAATTCTTTTAATTCGAACAAATTTTTGGGCCCCTTCGAGTTCAAATTATCGAGATTCGACTGTTATCGAAATGGACTTCACAGAAGAGGGCCCTTTATTTACCTTCATTTGTACGTCTTTATCCTGTTTCAGAAAATTACACAAAGACTGCCTTCTCCAACCTTTCGTGTCTTGCAAATGAAAGCAATTGCGTTTGCCAAAGGCTTTTGAAATGACGGACACACCATTTCCTACTTTACTAAGCGTAGAAGTTCTCTCATTTGGTAGTATGTGTCGAAGTATGTACAGTGCAGACCACTTATAACACAACCGCTTATAGGACAGAATCGGTTACAATGCAGTCTTTTGCCACTCCCATTTACCCTCCTGTGTACACGCATATTGCTTATTGTGCAGTCCCCCAAGATGAAAGACCGTTTATAAAAATCTTTGTGACAAATGCGGTGGAACATGCCTGTCTGAAAGGCCGCGCTGGGTGCACCGCTGTGGAACGTGTGATGTCATTACGGAAGAGACGCGAAGTTCACGAACAAAGGGCAGAGGAAAGGACAGGAAAAAAAATTCCCGCATAACCACGAAGTGAGTAATGATCAAAGAGCTTGCTCCAGAGGTTGAATCGGGTAAACCGTGAACCCTCTGTACATATGCTCAATCATCATCATACTATAAAGACCTCACACGAGAGTTGTTGTGATGTGAATGTGTATACAGGTTACATACACGTTACTTATTTATTTATTTATTTTTGAAGAGTTACGTCACACACTTTGGTGCCAGCCCACAAGCATGATACCATCTGCTGTCTTAGACAGCCATTTCCTACGCATCCGTCGTCTTGTCCCCATTTGATGGTGGGCTGTACCAGTTGTACGCACAGCGCACGACTCGTTGTCTGTGTAGAACACACATTGGGCTGTCCGCACTCAAGAAACTGCAACGCGTGACGCCTGGAGTGGAGTCGACCATGGCGTTCACACCGCTTCCCCTACCAGCATTTCAAACGCACGTCTCTTCCTAGCTCGCTGCTCATAGCAACACGCAGTCATCATGGTCCTCGCCTGCTGCGTGGAGCAAGTATGGAGCCTTGCCCACTGCGCTCAGGTGAGCGAGCACTCTTGAAAGAAAGAGCACAGCTACGCCTTTCGGAGAAGCAATGAGCACTAGCGCACACACTGGCACAACCACAAGAGACAACCCCCCCAGCAGAAGGAGCAAGCTCCTAAAAATACGCCGGCATGCTGCGCGTGCTCGCCGCCTTTGCACTGGCGCCGACGTGGCTACAGTGTACACATCGCTAGCCTGGCTCTGGCCGCGCGCAACTCAACACGTGCGATCCCATCCTTATCAACTGTGCTAAACAGTTTCCTGTCTGGAAATGTGTCATCGTTATCGAGCTTGCTAAAGATGTTGTGCTTGCTACTTCATTGTAAACTTAACAACTTTTATTGTTTTAGGACACAAGCTTTCGCCTTTGCTGCCATTGAGGCCTCTCACGTAAGCTTGGGGGGTTTTCGTCGTTGATCTCCCGGCCACAAACGCAAACTTCGTATCACGCATGCTGTTCTTGGTTCAGTGCTTCAGTGCAATCTTTTCGACGCAGGATGCTCATGTGTTGGAGAAACTTCCCGAAACAACATACTGAACAGCATTCTATATAAGCCTAATCAGCATCGGATGCATTTTAGTAGCGGTCGCGTACTAGTTATAAGTTCCAGTTTGGTACGGAATCAGTAAACACTTTACAGTGGCTGCACTATATGGCAAGGGATATATAGGTTCGTTATAGGCAGGTTAAACAGTAGTTGGCAGGATCCCCTGCAGAAACCACACAATGGTAAAGTCTCGAATCCACCTAGACTTAAGAAAGCAACGGCAGAAACTGATACGCAAGTAGCCAATTAATGAGCTAGCTAATCAATGAGCTAGACAAAATAGAGCTGGGTGGAGCTCTCTAAGCTAATAAGTAGGCATAAGGTGTTTTACATAAGAAGGTATAGCAAGGAGAAAATTGAGCATGCTGTAAGAAGTGGAAGGAAGCGTCAAAACTGTAAAGGCAAAACTGTGCATAGGCAAAAATGACAACAAAGGCAAGGTCACAACCAATAAGGATAAGATAGTTGAGATTGCAAAGGAGTTGTACTGACATTTGTACAGCAGCTGAGACAACTAGGATGATAACATAGAAAGCAATAATAGCCCAGAGAAATCAAACATCCCACCAGTAATGACAGGTGAAATAAAGAAAGCTCTAGAGAATACAGAGAGGCAAAGCCACTGGTAGGGATAAAGTAGCATCAGACCTGTTGAAATATGGTAGAGAGATCATGTTAGAAAATCTGGCTACCCTATAAACGGAGTGTCTCTTGTCGTGGAGGATATCAAAATTTGGGAAGAATGCACACATCTTAATCCATAAGAAAGGAGACGTCAAAGACTTGAAAAATTATAGGCTGATCAGCTTGCTGTAAGTTGTCTACAAGCTATTTACAAAAACAACAGGTAGTATAATTAAGATGTCATGACAGTTAGGTCAAACAAAGAACCAAGCAAGATTTCGTACAGGCTACTCAACAATAGGCCATATTATTACTATCAATCAGGTAATACAGAAATGTGCAGAATACATCCAGCCTCTTTGAATAAAGATTGCTTACCAGCGGAAACGACAGGGCAGGAGGGGACAGGAGAAGAGACGAGACAGAGCGCTGAACAGCCAACAATTTATTTCCTGTGAAAGTATTCGCTTTTATACAGTTACCAGTCGCACTAGTCATGCGCGAAACACAATGACAATGCATAAGTACATCACACTGACAAGCAAAGGAACAACTTTTCCTTATCGGTGAGCGCGACACAAGGGGTGCTAACACAAGCATCTTTCAATGAGCAAATATTTTCTGCCTCTATGATCTCGCGTGTGGTACAATCCCTGCATCTAGCAACAATAGAACACTCTGAAAATATTGGCCGGCAGCCACACGTGCTGCAGTGAACGAACAGTCATCCTTATTTATAGTGATCCACATTCTACATATGTTCCCTCAGCCTCTCATTTATACAACGACCTGTTTGACCGACGTAATACCTACCACATAATAACAGCAGCTGATACACCACATTACAGATGCAATCTCTGAACTTATTTGCATGTTTTGTAGTGCAACCGAGGGTGGGTCTGGACGGAGGAACGGACAGCTTGCACAGGCAACTCAATTTTTGAGGGGCCGTAAAGACCACCTTCACATTAACTCGCTGTGCCACTTTCTTAAGATTGTGCGCTATCTTGTGTATATATGAAACCACGACGAAAGCCTGTCTAGCTGTGAAAGGAGGGACTGCATTATCTGTCCCTTTGGCCTTACGTTCATGCAGCAGGCCGTTTGCGCTGGTAAGCACTC